AGCAATTTATAAATAATGTTACCTTAAAAGCCAAATAAAACGAGTTATCAATGTATGTGAAGTTCAATATGGCCATGAAGTAATAACAACAAAAGCGTCTATGATGCGGAGCGTGACTAGCGATCATGTCCATTATGAACCAAAGGTTTTGTTTTCAGCAACTTATGACTTCTGTAATGAAGTCCTGTAAAAAGTTTCAAACAATATTTTAAAATTAGTTTTCTTCCCCAAAAAATAAAAACTGTATAGTTTATAGGCAGCGACATGATAGAGGGAAGAAGGGAAAATGAAATATGGGACCGAATAAAAACGGTATTGACGCCATTGTTGTCAAACTCAAGAGTTAACTCTCCGAGTTTAATGTTTTTACGTTTTTAGCAAATAAAATCGTGTCGATTCACTCTTAAACCCGTGATAATTATAAACTCAGTTAAACTTACGAGTTCATTTATCAAGTTTACTATTTTTACGTTTTAAACTTACAAAATTATGTCGACTCGCTCTTAAACTCGTGCTAGATTTTTGGATTTGATTATGTTTAGTGATTTTATATATGAATTTTATAGAAATTTTTTTATTGAATGTGATAAATTATGATCATTGCTGGATATAATTTTAATTATTTAAATTTAAAATATATTAAAATGAAATTGTTTTTATTTTTTATATTAATTATTTGACATGTACTTTTAATACCAGTTTATTAATAAAAATAAACTCTTACGAGTTTACGATTTGAGTTTATCTCATTCTTACGAATTCGTTTAAACTCGTGAGTTTGACAACCTTGATTGCGTTTTAATTAATACTTTGAAAATTTGTTAGATAAGGATCTTGGTTTTCTGCTGATAGTTTTTTAAATAAAAATCTGATTTACAAAAATGCACTGTTAAAGTTATAAATCATAAAAAGCTCAATTGGAAATGGAAATCCCGAAGATTAAGTTGAAAATTGTAAAAACCTTAATGTAAATAGTGTCGAATTAATAAATTATTTTCGCGCTCATTCGTTCGGCATTTCCAACGCATATATAGTGTTTTTCCTGCTACATTTTTAAAACTGTCCAATGAATATTAAAAAAATTACTTTTTTTTGGCATCGACAGGAAAATTAATTAAAAACGCCTTTAGCTAAGATTTCTAGTATTTCCTGATTCCATTAAAGCACTTCATAATGTTGCCAATTCATAAAATATTAATCATCCAACTTTTGGTATTTTCTAAAGAGGCCATAAGGCTATTGATGCGTGGCATAGAACTTAGCTTCTAAGCACATTTCAATAGAGTATGATACGTGTATTGACTGCATGTCTTGCCTGCATATTAGAGTTTTTTTCTTCTTCTGTTTTTTTCATAGGCACACGTATTCTTTATTAAAAGTAATTCTATTCGAAGTACCGTCAAACATTAAATATGAAAACTTCTTATAATAAGGACTCAGACCTTAATTTATTGTGTTGTGAAAGATTAATGCATTCTACTAATTAAATCCAACCCTTATTGGTTATAAATTGTACTGTGAAGGATTAATGCATTCTCCTAATTAAATCCAACCCTTATTGCTTATCTTAGAATTGATAATAGATTTGAATTAGGGATTTCAATTAAGTGAGATGAGAAACACGATGACTCAGTCATAATACTAGGAATACGGGTTAACTTTATAGGATCGCGGGTTTAAACGGACCAGTTCTGCATGGCTAAAATTTCAGAAATATTCCATTTTGTTAGACTTGGCTATTAAGCTGATGGGTTCAAGACCAACCCACGAGCTTTCTAGTAGTTTAAGAGAAAATACAATTTTTTATATTTTTCACATGCTTTATAAAAAAAATGAAAATAAAGCAATCAAATTATTAATAAAAGACATAAATATGAATAAAATTAAGTTATAAATATAAAAAATATCATATTTAAATATCTATCAACATCTAAAAACATTTAAAACATCCAAGAGAATAACATCCAAAAGTTTTATCAATATTACAAATATGCAATAGACAAACAAAATACAGTTATCAATTTTTTGAAACTTTGTCATCACTATCATCGATTACTCTTTTTGTGAGTATACTTTTCTTTAGAGCAAAAAATATCAAGTTTTTTTTCTTCATAGAAATTTCACTTTTATATTTTGTTGTCTAACTATTATTTTACCTTAGTTTGAGATATATTATTGTTGAAACTCATAAATTTCTAATTCAAATTATAGAATCACAGATTGCATAAGTATACTCTCTTATCAAATATATATATTTTGGAAATATCAACACATGTGAGATATTTTTAAAAAAATTAATTAAACAAATTATGGTCTAAGACCAAATAAATTAAACAATTTTATGAAATTTAATTTTAAAATAATAATAATAACTAAATATTTGAAATATCGTTAACAGTTAAAAAAATATTAGCATTATAAAAAAAATTAAAAAAATAAAAAGTTTATAAAAAGTCCTCAACTCTACAAGGTCAATCCTTTTAAATACGTTCCCGTTTAAAAGAAAAAATTTAATGCCCGAACCTTACAGTTTTCCGGCTTTGCTCCATCATTGAGTAGTTGATTCAAAACGTTCATAAAAAAGTTTTTTAAGATGTTCATGAAAAAAGTATCTAAGTTTTCCCCAACTTTATAACTTTTGGCAATTAAGAACTGGTTAGTTATCGTTGGCCAAAAAAAGAAATTGGTCAATTATCTTCTTCTTAGGACTTGTTTGGGTGCCCTAAAATTATAGTTTGGGAAGCAAAACCATGGTTTGGGTGGATGATATCACCCAAACAGCATCAATTTTTGAGAAATAATCTGAAATTATGGTTTGGACCAAAACCATCGTTTTGGAGCCCAAAACCATGGTTTCAGGAGAAGTAAATCCATTCTGCTTCTGATTCAAATTAGAGAGTATGATTGTACCTATCAGAGTAAACCTCAACAATAATATGATTTTAACATCCCTCAATTATTTTTTTAAACATATTTAATCTTATATCTTATAAATATATATACACATATTAATTAATTATTAATTATCTTATGTATTAGTATTAATTATGTTAGTAAAAATAGATATTATTTTATTCCTTCAAATTAAAATATATCATAAAATCTATATTTTATGTAATTTATTTAACTTATGTCTTTTTTAGTAATTTGTATATATAAAAAGTGCTTGTGATAACAACTATCTAAACACTTTTATTTTTCAAAGTCATTTTTTTCACAAAATCCATTTCTTCAGAATCTATTCTCTAGAAAGCTATTCTCCAAACCATGGTTTAGTTTTATCCAATCACCCTTTTAGAGAGATTGATATATGGTGGGATGCTAAATATAGGCATATTTTTTTAGGAGGAATTCAAACATTAAATTATTATATTGTGAGGGATCGATTTTTTTTTATTAGACTCAACTTTCATTGATTTTTATAAAATAACTGGGAGGCTATTAAGTCCCTTATAAAAAATGGCCAGATATATCTAAGAGGGCCCTTCCTACACACTGGCCATGTGCTCTATTGTGAGATTCACACGTTATTTCGGTTTATTGTTTACCGTTGTTATTTTATTTTCCGCTGTCAAAAGGGCAAAGGCATGCGAACGCAATCCATTCGCTTTTATTTTTTTCCATAAACTGAAAAAAAATGATTAAAAGAGTTGCTGGCATATCACAATCACGCTATTTATGATTCATAATTTGTTATAATTACATATTTTATGCTAATCACTATATTGTTCACTCATTCAACAAAGTTATAATACCACATCTGATGCTTAATATAAGAACTAGTTAACTAATTTAAATAAATTAAAAAAATTAATTAAATTAATTATTTGTAATAAATAAGTATTGTCTTTTTAAAAATATCTTCGCTAATCAAGTGTATTGGTTAGAAATACTTTTATTACAATGATTATATTAAAAAAATAGATAAATATGAGAGACAAAGAAGATTGTGGTCTTATATTTAAAACTAAAATAAAAATAAAACAAACTCTTATATTAAGAATAAAATGTAATATTATTTATGTAATCCAACTGTTAAATTCTCCATTAGTTTTTTTTTAAACAAAAAATTCTCCATTAGTTGAATGATTTTTACGCCCTATATCGGCTATAATTTTGCTCACTTAAAAATTAATTTCTGATTTTTAAATTAAGGAAACAAGCCTTAAGTCCAAAGATTTCCCTTTCCTTTTTCTTTTTTTGTTTTTACTTAACAGACAATATCTAGCTGGATGCCGCCCAAGGACCAAAAAGGCTTATCACGGCCGGCGCTTCTACACGTGGGCACGTGGCAAGTACAAGGATTGCCATTCAAATATTGATATTAAAAATTTTAAAAAACCAAAATCGAAACTTACTTTAGCGAGCTTGAGATCTTCTAGATTCATTCCTGGATGAGATGTTAGCTTGGTCCTTCAGCTAACACCCGAGTGGTATCAGAGCCAGCACAATCTTGACGGAAGTGATTATGAAATTTTTTATTTAATTTTTTAAATTTATAAAATTAATTTTTATTCCCTTAATTTTTTTGGCCATAATTTTTATTCCCTTAATAATAATCCTGTTAATCTCCCTAACAACAATTGTTAATTCAATGAATTTAAATAATAATTTTGTAATTAAATGTATTATGTTAATATTTAATTTAAAATTTGTCAATCGAAAATATTTAAAATAAACGCAATAAGATATTGTCCAAGTTAAACTTTTAAAATATAAAAATATTATTATTTATAATATCTCCATAGAGTTCCTTATATAATTAGTTATACTAGTATTTTTTAAAAATTGCGACAAAACTCTCTCTGTCAAGGTGTTTTTTTTTTTTTTGGGTGAAAAGTCAAGGTGTTTTGTATTCTAATAAATTTGACGTAATAATTCAGGGACAAGCCTAAAAGTCACTATAAGTCTAAAATTTCCCTAGGTGTTAATTCGGTAATTCCAAAAAAGTAAAGATGGAAACTTTTTCTCTGATTAAAAAAGTTAGGAACTTTTTCCTGTTGGGTACCGAGCCAGAGCGAAGACCCGCTGAGTTTTGAGTCCAGGGGCATCCCCGAAGAAACAGACGCGAAGGGAAGAAGCACTCTGTACATATCCTCTCTTTCCCATCCGAGCCATGAGCCTCTTCGGTATAGGCAGGTGGGTGTAAGATCTTAGATTTTGACCAATAATTCATGCTTATGGAGCGCCTTCCTAATTGAGTATTTTTTTTTTGTTTCAGTCTTTTGATTTTGCTTTGAATGGTTATATTCTTAGATGTCCTATGATCCGATCTGCCTTAGTGGGTAACTTTTGTTCATTGCAAAGTTGTTACAATCTGGTGATCTTTTAGCTCTTTCTGGATTTAGTCTAATATCGGAATCCGATTGTATAAATTTCGCCATGTGTTGTAATTCGCGTCCGCATTTTCTGTCTCATCAAAAAACGAATGCGAGTGGGCAACCTCATCTTGTCATTTTAATCAAGAGTGGCTTTTGATTAGACCTTCCAAGTGTATGAAGGATACAATTTTGGGAACTAATTATTACCTCCCATTTCCTGGCTTGTCGCAACCTCATCTTGTTGATTTCATCAAAGATTGGACTTTGCTTAGAAAGGCCAAGTAGGATCAAACTTTGGGTAATCATGATTGTTTCTGATTCTTCCTCTTGAATCCGACCGGCCCAACAAAACTGTCTTGAGTCTTGACTTACTCTCTCCAAAGATGACAATTTTTTTGGGGCCAACAACACAATGTTAGATTAGGTTGAATTACTTTTGTGTATGTCTTGTAGTGCTTGCTGTTGCAACCTCATCTTCTTGTTTTGATTGAGATTGTATTTTGCTTAGACAATCTGGGTCTATGAGGATCAAACTTCTGGTAGTAATGAAATAATGAGTACTGCTAATTCCCTAGTGTGAGCCCTACCAGCCTACCACAATGGTCTTGTCCTATTTTATCTGCAGATATGTTAGATTAAGCTGACCATGCATTTTCAATTTCCAATTATGAAATAAGAATGAGTAGGCTATTTAACTTGTATCATTGCAAATTGTCATTGCGGAATCTGATATGTTGTCAATCTGGAGTTATTTTTGTTAATAAATACAGCCAAGTTTCCGTAGTAATATTCCTTGTCTTCAATAATTAAATTCTAATGTAAAATGTTTGAAGGTCCTCATTTTACATTAATATTCTTACGGAATGTGTCCTTGTTGAGATCCATACAGCCAAACTAATCTGTGCAGCCAAGCTTCCATTGTAACGTTCTCCCTTGAATGTGTCTTTTGAGATCATGACTAGGTGAAGAACACTCATGGTCCTGCCTAGACAAGCCATTTAAGCTCTTATGCTGAAAAATTGTACAGGATATTCCATAACTAAGTATCCATATTATGAAATTTGCACCTGTGCTTTTATAACGTAGGTGCAAAAGTTTGGGGCATCACGTTGCATGGTAATTACTAGTCCGTCTACACCTGGGACTGCCACAATCGCAGCTCAGCATTTAGCACACCACATTATGTCATCTTTTCATAATGTGGGTAATCAAATCAAAAAGATCCGCCATAAAACTTTTCTGTATAGTGTTAGAACTCTGAGGTGATCCAGTTTCCACAGACACAAACTCCACCTTGTCAAAGGTGCCATGAACGTTGTCAGTAATAATAGTGATTCTGTTTAGATTGATTCTCTTCCACCCCTATATTGGTGTGTTCTGCCTTATGAGTTATTCTGTAACAGAAGCCAGCGGACATTCCGACCAAAAAAGAGTGCACCTTCTGGCAGCAAGGTTGGTCCCTTTTACTGAAGCATATTCAGGGACGTGCTCATCCAAGTTGTTGCATATTGTTCATTGATATTGTTATTGTGTTGTTTTGCAGGGAGCGCAACTTAGACAGCACATTGATGCCACATTAGGAAGTGGAAATCTAAGGGAAGCAGTAAAGCTACCTCCTGGGGAGGATTTAAATGAGTGGCTTGCCGTCAACAGTAAATTACATTCTCTCTCATGCTTTATTGAGAACAGCATGTTTAACTGTTGCAGTTTTGTCTTAGTTTATCCCTAGTATGCATAATCACAATACTGACGGAGTTATTTTTACTGTTTCTGGCCCACATTGCAGCTGTGGACTTCTTCAACCAGGTGAATCTGCTCTATGGTACCCTAACGGAGTTCTGTACTCCTGAGAATTGCCGGACAATGTCTGCTGGACCCAAGTATGACAGAACTAATTGATTGCTTTCTTTTAATTAAACAATTATCCAGCATGATATTTAAGTCTTTTCAAAGTTATCTGTGGTGATTTTTTTTAACTATATGCTTATTGAAATCCAGTTAGATGATACTGCCAACCATCCAAGTCTTTGAGTGATACACTTCATTAATTCATTTAGCTGAGATGTGTTTTCCTTACTTGAGGCAGCATGTAAAAAAACTAAGAATGATGGATTGTGTAATGAACCAAAACCCATGTAAACCAAATTTTAAAAGTTATCCATTCTTCCAAGGGCCTTATGATGAAACTTAAAGAAAGCTGGTGCGTTTCCTACTTGTGTTGTGAGCCGAAAAAATCTTTTCTTTTGTTTGGGGGGCGGGGAGGAGTCAATATTTAAAACATCTCGTGACAATTGGAAGAGCAAGATAGTAGCCTAATGATTCTCGCTACATAAAGGTTATAGTAGTTAGAATTCTTTTGGAACACATTTTCTTCCTTGAGTGCAATAGAATCTTTTATACAAGCGTGTACAAGTGTAAGCTCTCTACTTGTGATTTGAACTGTCAAAACACTATATTTCCTTGTGCTTTTCTTGTCAATATCATTCTGTTAATGCTAATGATGATTCCCTCCGCTCCTAGGCCATTCCAAAGTCATCTGTTCTAAAGTTGTGTGTGTGGCTCTCTCTGTTTTCTCACGTGAAAACCTTACAGGTACGAGTATAGATGGGCAGATGGTGTACAAATCAAGAAACCTATTGAAGTTTCTGCTCCAAAATATGTGGAATATCTAATGGACTGGATTGGAGCACAGCTTGATGATGAATCCATATTCCCTCAGAAGCTTGGTAAAGATTGTGTTTTCTTGTTTCCTAAAGATTGGTAAACACTTAGAATGATTACCATTAACTATGTACTCTAATATATGGAATTTTGCATGTAGGTACCCCTTTTCCCCCTAACTTCAAGGATGTTGTGAAGACAATATTCAAGCGATTGTTCCGTGTATATGCTCACATATACCATTCCCATTTCCAAAAAATTGTGAGTCTTAAGGAGGAGGCCCACCTAAACACATGCTTCAAGCATTTCATACTCTTCACTTGTGTAAGTTTGATACTATTTCTGTGCTGATTGGATCTGTTTGTTGTGTGCTGACAATATCATTCTCTCCCTTGTGTGAGCTCCAATAGTCCTATATGCCCTTAGTTTTTCTTCCCAAGGGCTAGTCAGGAACCTCCTTCCTTGGCTAATATTGATCTCCATCATGTTCAAGAAAATCTTTTTAGTTATCGGTTTGATTAGTTAGATACTAATAATTGTCTTATTCATACAGGAGTTTGGGCTGATCGATAAGAAGGAGTTGGCTCCACTTCAGGAGCTTATTGAATCCATAATTGTTCCATACTGAAGAAGTAAAATGGAACATAGGAAGCATAGCTAATGTATTGAATTTGATGAATGCTTATTGATGCTTGACTTAAGAAATCTTCCATGTATGAGTTGTTTAGGATGTGCTGGCATAGGGTCTTATGACTGTAAGTGAAGCTTCATGATTCACAGTTTCACACAACAAACAGGGGAGGTAATGGGGCACCGTTGATGACTGCTAAATATTTCTGCTTTACGTTCCCTACTGGAAAGCTTGTTGACAGAATTTAACTCAGTGTTAGCGAACTGATGATGTAGATATCACTCTGTTCCTGATTAAGTGATTGTTAAGACCTGTGTTTGTCCTTGAAGTTGAACTGTTAATTACCTTGTGCTGCATCAGTTCATGGTGCTTGTGTCTGAGAAAATAGTACACTTAGCGTAAATGCTATCCGGCTACGTGAGTAACATAAGCCACGGTTCAACTCTAATGCTTGGTACATGAAATTTTTTTTTTTTTTGGAGGGGGGGGGGGGGGGACTCCTTGTGAACAAGAGATGTCTTTTATGCCTCTGAAGAAAAAGTTAGAATGATAACAAAAAGAAACGAAGCAATAATAACCCAGGCAAAAAATTAAAAAAAAAAACACCGTATTTCAACCTCTTTGTAACGAATTCCTTCTTCTGCCGTGGGGCCACCCTAAGGCCTTATTATTTCAAAAGAGAATTATATGAAAAAATTGTCTCAATTTAGGTGAAAACGTTTATAAGCACTTGTTACAAGCATATTCAAGCCTTCATTTGTTAACTTTCTTGCATTAACGGCTCAGCTCTTTGATGAATTATTTCCCGAGATTTTGCAGTACAAGAATTTAGCCCAAGTCAATCATGGTGGTATGGAGACTGGTGATCCAATGATGAGAATGCATTCCAAGAAAACCCTACTATGAGTTTTTCGTGAAAGAAACCCCAACCAGCTACAAAGCGCCCCCCCCCCCCCCAAAAAATGTTAGGAAAAAAGAATACCATCTCCATTTTTTTTGTGTCCCTGTTTTACATTTAATCCCTGAAAGTCCTTTTGGGAAAAAAAACTCAATTTTCAGCTAATTACAATACTACACATGTACTCGTCAACTTCATTAAGCAAATACAAGTTCTAAAAGAAACCATGCTCTTATTCCTCGTGTAACCAGTCAAAAAATTGGAATATTACAGGATATAGCAGAGAGACTACTAAACTCAGTCATGACCTGATCCATCCTGAACAGAATGCAGCCTCTTCGCATCAGAATCCCCGTATCTTGAAGCTGCAAAGCGATATGCTACAATAGTTCCAACAAGAACCCCTAACACCAAAAGAAAGAGCTGAAAGTTGGCAAGCAATTCACCCCTAACCTCACTGTCTCCAGAATGGCACATGATTTCATCACCTTTAAGCACACAGCCACGTGGCATCATCGGGCCATAAAGAACAAAGGCAGTTTGCCAGAACCAAAAGCCTTGGAGGGTTATGGCAATGCCACTGCACAAATCTGCAGGAAAGCTGGTAGGGAAGATGGCACCTGCAATCGCAGACAGAATGCAAAGTCCTATGAGAAGCACAAGGATGGTGTGAAAGTAGCCCTCAAGGCCCTTGTGGGTTGTTGAGTGAAAGTAGAATAGAAGATACTCAGCACAGAATGCTGTGGCGGCTATGAAACAAAGAGCACCTTCCGGCAATGAAAAAAATCTGAATACGGAGAAAGAAAGAAATTTGTAAAATGAAGCTGGTTAGTAACGTTGGAAAGTGGATAGATACTAAAATACTTGCTATTTATTATGGATCTTCACTTAAGAGATGGATAAACCAAAGGTTAAAATGATAATGGAACAGAGAAAGGAAATAAATGGTTAAAAAAAATAAAGCGATTTTGCAAATGATAAATGTTTTTTTTTGCATACAAAGAGACAGTTACTGTTGAGTATTAATAGCAGGGGCGTAAGTATTGCATACTTCGATTTCAATGTTAAGGAAAAGGAATTTTTTTTCATGAATCATACAAAACATGGCCAGAATTCTCGGTCACTCGGTGGTAGATAAACGGATATCATATTAAAATCACTTCAACTTAAAAATTTATTCTATTTGGAAGCGGTAACTTTTCCCCTATAGTGCAGGTTCTTGGACCTTTGGACTCTACTTGTAAAGAAAGGAGAGAATTTAACCTGTGTTGAGTGAATTCTTCTTAATAGTTCTCTATTACAATATTTAAGAATTTAAAGCAATGCCAGTGAATATTGAATCATATTTCATGCCCTATATGCGACGAATCTTAATCATTGGAAGACAATGATTTTTTGGTGATGCAAAGGGGTCCATAGATCCAAATCAGAAAAATAAATAATTATATTGAACCGAAGATTGAGAAAACGAGGGAAGAGAAAGATACAAATTGTGCAGGGCAATAGCAAATGATTAGGATAAAATGACTTATCCTTGTTGGGGAAGTCACTGGAAGTCATAATGCCGTCTTTCTAAAAAATGATCAGTTTCATGAATCTTGCCAATAAATTGGCCCACATTACGTGATTCAAATCATGCAATCAAACACTAGATGTGACGCTTAAATCTTCCTACTCAAAAAATCATAAGACGTAACACCTGAGAAAAACATCAAACCCAACATCCTAATCTCGAAAGTACTGCTTACAGGAACAGCCCATCTAAGAAAATTGCCTTGAGCCTCACATACACCTAATAAATTTCCAGTTCACCTAATTTTAACTATTGAATCACCTCACGAACCCAAAGCCAAAAAGCTACCAATTTTTTTTTTTGGTGAGAACCCAAAAAGGCAAACGATATCTTACATGCACAGGAAATTGCCAGAAACATCATGGAAAATGAAAGGGGTAAAATTGACAAAGAAAACTAGTCGACTAACCTTGTCTTCTCCGAGAGCAGGGTAACAATACTGAAGACAAAAAACATGAGAAGCATCCCAGAGTGTTCGAAATTGTTCATATGAGAAGGATTCAAAACCCCCTTTACAGTAAACTTGAGATGGGTCGCATACAGGAACTCGACGCACAGGTCAATGAAAGCACCAATTAATATGACATAGAGCTCCAAATGCTTGAATCTTCCATCAAAGCCATTCACGGGATTCCAGACCCGGACCCGAAACGTTTTTGGGTTAGATACAAATCTCACCACAGCACCCCATATATGCCAAGCCCCTACTAGAAGAAACAGTGTCCCTGGCAATGCATGACCTTTGAAAGATCCCATCTTTCTGATATATTTTTACAACTCTCTGGATATCTTTTCTCCGATACTGGCCAAAATATAGATGAACACCTGTTTTGAATGAAATCAGTTTCAGACGTCAACTTTGAAACTTCGACTAGCAGCCATGGATAGACTTGAACAAGCTAAAAAAAGCATGCTTTACAGCTTTTGTATCGAATATATATTTACAAGTTTGTGTAATTTCTAACAGGAGTGCGGGAAAAAAGTATACCCTTTTTCTTTTGTACTTTTTCTAACAGTTCACGAGGGAAATAGATTGGGAAGCTTCCTATCTGCTTTTAGCAATCAACGCCAATTAGCGCCACTAACCAAACAGGTCCTCCATGGCCATCAGTTTTCGCGGTAAACACACACAGAAATTCTGCTAATTAAACGAACTAGAAACAACTCAGCTTCTAGATACTCCCTTAATACCAAGTCAACGTGAAATGATCACTTGGAAGCTGGAAAAGGGAAAAGAAATTTTTCCAGGTGTTCATAAATACAGGAAACCGGTAAATTTTTTTATATATCAAGATCAAAGATAGCAAACAGAACAGTCCCACCGCGGCACCGCTAAACACAAAAGCAAAAAACTCGAAAGCATGATTTACAGTCGAGAAGGCATGCTAGAGGAGGAAGAAGAAAAACAGATCCATCGATAAACTGTGGAAATTTCTCATACCATCAAGAAACCCAACAATTCCTAACTCGTCTCGTTCCTGTAGACATGACTAGAGCAGAACTACCATTTCCTTTCTTCTTCTTTGGGTAGAGACTAAATGAGCACGAGGGCAAAGAAAAAAGTTGAGATTTTGCTACTGATATGAGATGAACAATTAGATACTTTACGCCGAATCATAAGGCAATAAAGAAAGTCGAAAAGGAAAAAGAACAATAAAACAATCATGAAAGGGGTTAAGAAGCTTACGGTAATGATTTACAATATCATCAAAGGGGGATTGGTTTGGCTGCAGAAAGCATAAACAGAGTCCGCTGTCTCCCTCTCTCTCTTCCCCACTCTTGCGATTGCAATGATTCCATGGATTAAAAAAAAAAAGAAAAAACTTCCTAGTCTCCTCGAATCAGGAAAAACTGATACGAGGGGTGGTGGTGATGGGATCTGAGACCCATTTCCTGATGGGTTCGGGTCTGACCGGTCCAAATATGCGAGTGGCGCAGCCCTGGCAGGTAGGAATCACGCAATTTTAGTGTGTCAGCCGTACAAAAAAGTACATATAAAATACCTTTTCGCTGAATAGTATTATAAAATATGTTGTTTTCTTTGCCAATAAAATGCTACTTTCAGTATTAAGAAATAATTTAACATTTAATTTGATTTTAAATATAAAATTTCAATTTATTTTATTTTTTATATTTATCTATTTTTCAACATAATCCTTGTAGTAATTACACATGTTAAATATTACATCAAATAATAGTTTTAGCTAATATACATTATTAGTAAAAATATTTTTAAAAATAACATATATTTATTATAAATAATTATTTAAATAATATTTTTAATTTTTTAAATTAATTAACCAGATTTTATATTAAGAATAAGTGGATAATATATGTTTAACTTTTGGTGGTTTACAGATTTGTGTGAAGAATTTTGTTATTGTGCATTTCGCGTGGTGGGATTACCTTCACAAGAGAAGGTGCCCATGAAATGTACAAGTGGGTCCGGTTTGGAAACCAGATAATGCTTGAAAGCATGCCCCTTTTTAAGCCCTGAACGCTAGTTTGCCGCAAGGTCCCACCTTTTGTGGGGCCCGGCCAGCAGCGAGAGGGCATCTAAGTTGCTGAAAATAAAAAGAAACATTACACTCAGATCCCACAAAAGACAATTAATTTCAAAAAAGTCCTTAGAAATCTCGTAATGATTCTGAAGTCCCCAGGGACCTGTATGTAATTAATTGTAATTGTGAAATTACTTATTTATCCTCATTAATTTTATTGCAACAATTCATTTATAACCTCAACAGTGGCTGTTGACAACCCTAGGAGAGGTGGTTAACAACATCGGCAGTGCTCCTGACAACTCACTCTGTGAGATGCCAAGGGCATTGCAGAGGTTGTTAATCACCTCTCCTCGGGTTGTCAACAGCTACTGTTGATATTGTAAATGAATTACATTGGGTTCAAATTAATGAGGGTAAATAGGTAACTTCACAATTACAATTAATTACACACAGGTCCCTGGGGACTTAGGAATCATTTCGGGATTTCTAGGGACTTTTTTGAAATTAATTGTCTTCTGTGGGACATGAGTATAATTTTCCCAAAATAAAATGCTCATATACTTTTCTTGATCCAAAAATACTTGGGAAAATTACAAATAAAGACCCTCTAATATATAAAATAGCTATTACGGACCCTGCATTTAAAAACAGCTTTAGAGGACCCGGTCCCAAATTGCAAATATGAAATGATAGTGAAATGTCCAAAATACACTCTGTTTTTTCTCTTTCTTCCTCTCCAGATCTTCTTCCCGGCCTTTTCTCCTCCTTTTCCTCTGTCTCTTCGTTCTCTCTTTCCTCTCCAGATTTCCTTCCCTCTCCTCACTCCTTCCCAAAGTATATGAAACTCACAATGTCCTTCAGTAGTCCTCTCTTCATTATGATCCCCCGTCACTTTCTTCTTATCTTGCTTAGTTATTCTTTCATCGACAATGAAACCTCTTCCATCATTCTCTCTGTTGCTGTGGAAGGAGAGGAGAGTCGGGGAGTTTGAGGGAAAGTGATAGTCATTTGCAATGCTTGTAATGTTTTCTTGTAATGTATGCCATGATTGCTTGGTGCTAAGACAACGCCCAACAAATCTGGATTTTTATTCTTCATTTCTATTTTGATTTTCAGCTCGTGTTCATAATTGAAAATAACAAGTTTGGTAAGTTGTTGAAAATAACAAGTTGACAAGTTCTGATACCCACTTCGCGACAAGTTCAGTAACATGAATAACAAGTTTAGCAAGGCAAATAACAACTTCTGATAAGCAATTCATAGAAATTTAAGTTTCAGTGTTAAAATGATAGCATTTTCAGATTTCTTTAACAGATGACAAGTTCTGATAAGCAATTCATGACAAGTTCAGTAAGGCAAATGACAAGTTTAGTAAGGCGAATGACAACTTCTGATAAGCAATTCATAGAAATTTGAGTTTGTGTTAAAATGACAGGTTTCCATTAGGTTTTCATACTATTTCTGTTAAAATGACTGAATTTCCACATTGATTTATGAAATGATAGGTTCACAATAGAAAATGATAAGTTCCCATAATATTTTCATAAATTTTCACACTTTTTTTGCTAGAATTACAGTTTGCACATCTCTGACAGCAACCACTTCTGATAAATCCAAAATGACAAGTTAACAATAAAAAATGACAAGTTAAGTATGGCAGATGATAAGTTTCCATAACGTTTTCACACTTTTTCTATTAGAATTATAATTTGCACATTTTTGATAACACCTACTTTTGATAAACACGAAATGACAAGTTAATTATGGCAAATGACAAGTTCCCATAACATTTTTATACATTTTCAAACATTTTTTGCTGGGATTACAATTTGCATGTTGCTGATAGCAAGCACTTCTGATAAATAGTAAATGACAAGTCCACAATAGCGAATGACAAGTTAAGTATGTAAAATAACAAGTTCCTATAACGTTTTCATACAATTGTAAATTTCTCTACTGAAATAACAATGTGCAGATTTTTGACAAAAAACAGTTCTGATAAACAATAAATTACAAGTCCATAATAGCGAATGACAAGTTAAGTATGTAAAATGATAAGTTCCCATCACGTTTTCATACAATTATAAATTTCTCTGCTAAAATAATAATGTGCAGATTTCTGACAGCAACCACTTCTGATTAACATCTTTTATCATCAACTTCACCTCTCATTTCCTCCTAATGTATAAAACTATAGCGCTAGAACTCTCATAAGCCCCTCAAGAAACATGCTCATATCAACACCACCGGCAAATGCACTACGATGATCATATCTACTCACAAGTGCATCCTTAACCATGAAATCCCAAATGTAAATTGTCATATCATATGAACCAGAAACCATCAAATTCTACATATAAGGCAAGAACTTTATTCATTTAGCACTGTATTTAGAGCTCGTTTGTTCCTCACATCCCCATCTTGATTGATTTATCCACTGAAATACAATCATCATACTTGATTTCCACAATTTAGAGCTCGTTTGCAATTATCAGAAGTGGGTACCTTCAGAAATGTGCAAATTGTAATTCCAGCAGAAAAAGTATGAAAATTTCTGAAAACGTTATGAGAACTTGTCATTTGCCATACTTAACTTGTCATTTTTCATTGTGAACTTGTCATTTCGTCTTTATCAGAAGTGGTTGCTGTCAGAAATGTGCAAACTGTAATTCCAGTAAAAAAAGTATGAAAAAGTATGAAAATCTTATGAGAACTTATCATTTTCTATTGTGAACCTATCATTTCATAAATCAATGTGGAAATTCAGTCATTTTAACGGAAAAAGTATAAAAACCTAATGGGAACTGTCATTTTAACACAAAAACTCAAATTTCTATGAATTGCTTATCAGAAGTTGTCATTCGCCTTACTAAACTTGTCATTCACCTTATTGAACTTGTCATGAATTGCTTATCAGAACTTGTCATCTGCTTAAAAAAAAAATCTGAAAATATTGTTATTTTAACACAAAAACTCAAATTTCTATGAATTGCTTATCAAAAGTTGTTATTTGTCTTACTAAACTTGTTATTTGTGTTACTGAACTTGTCGCGTAGTGGGTATCAGAAGTTGTCAACTTGTTATTTTCAACAACTTACCAAACTTGTTATTTTCAATTATGAACACGAGCTGAAAATCAAAATAGAAATGAAGAATAAAAATCCAGATTTGTTGGGCGTTGTCTTAGCACCAAGCAATCATGGCACACATTACAAGCAACATTACATGAAGGGAATTGAAAGACGTGCAACGGAATAAACTTTAAAATTTTCAATCCCTTGCCCGGATCTACCGATCGTGTTTAAGTCAAGTAGTAAGAAGCATTACCTTCGATGTTCGGTCTCTTGGTGGCTCGGGGATTCCGCTGTTCAGGATGCCTCTACTCGCCTCTTTTATCGCTCGAAGTCGACAACTCCGGTCGGCTTCCTCTACCGGTATCCACACGAATAGCTCTCAATCACGAACGACGTGCTAGCGCCTCTTGTCCTTCTAGGGTTTATTTTTGAAGAATCCGTCCTCCCTTCTCTATTTTTGGCCGTCTCTTATCTGTAAGTGTTTTCACTCTCTCACTCAAAACCCTAGCTCCTCATATCAAATATATAGGATGCTATAGGTATTATGAATGATATTTAATTTCGAAATTAATCCTAAATTAATTCTGAAATTAATACAATATCAAATATTGCCTAATCAGATAAGAGAACAATTAAATAAATATGGTTTATATTAAATATGTCTCACAGATTTAATTCACCTATTTATTTAATTCAAAATAAAGATATGACAGAATTAATTTATATAGATCTAATTTATCCTTATAAATTAAATCTAACAATTAATATCTCTTATATTTATATAATATGTATATATATACGAATTTATATATACATATACACGTCCACCCTATATTA